CCTCACACACACACACTGCACCCCTGACAGGCACATCACAGCACCCTCACACACTGCACCCCTGACTCGCACAGCACCCTCACACACACACTGCACGTCTGACCCTCACAGCACCCTCACACACACACTGCACGTCTGACCCTCACAGCACACACACTGCACGTCTGACACTCACAGCACCCTCACACACACACGCACACACACACACACTGCACCCCTGACACGCACAGCACCCTCACACACACACTGCACATCTGACACAGCACAAACAAAATGCACCCCTAACACTCAGAGCACCCTCACACAGTGCACCCTTGACACACACAGCACACACACTGCACCCCTGACACTCTCAGCACCCTCACACACACTGCACGTCTGACACAGCAGAAACAAAATGCACCTCTAACACTCACAGCACCCTCGCACACACACACTGCACCCCTGACACACACAGCACCCCTGACATTCACAGCACCCTCACACACTCACAGCACACACACTGCACCCTTGACACTCACAGCACCCTCACACACACACACTGCACCCCTGACACGCACTGCACCCCTGACACTCACAGCACCCTCACTCACACACTACACGTCTGACACTCACAGCACACACAAAATGCACCCCTAACACTCACAGCACCCTCACACACACACATTGCACCCCTGACACGCACAGCACACACACTGCACCCCTGACACTCACAGCACCCTCACACACACACACTGCACCCCTGACATGCACATCACACACCCTCACTTACACACACTGCACCCCTGACACTCACAGCTTCCTCACATGCATACACTGCACCCTCACACATGGCTTCCTCACATTCACATAGCGCCCTCATGCAAACACAGCACCCACTCACACACAGCACACACACACACTGCACCCATCACACACACAGCACCCTTACCCACATAGCACCCTCACGCAAACACAGCACCCATCACTCACACACACACTGTACCCCTCTCTCACACACACTACACCCCTTACACACACACACACACACACAGAGCACCCTCACACACACTGCGCAATATGCTTTCCTGGCATTTTTGTCTCCTGGTATCCCAACTATGGAGACACCAGAGACAAATTTCAAGCAAACAGTGCAAGCATGTTATTAAATTTGCTTGCGCTGTGCAGAACAAATACAGGGTATTTTTCTCATGCCAGAGCTCTTCAGCAGAGCTCTGCGCATGGTCTACCCTGGAAGAGCATTAAACCAACATGCTCACTTTGTGATGGGGCGTGCTTGTCATTGGTGATGACAAAACACACCCTATCTGGCCCCGCCCCCTTTTTAGTGGGCCGCTGTAATTAAAAAATGCCCGGGCCGAATTTTCTTCCCAGTCCGGCCCTGGGGCTTGGTGATACTGGGAGCTACTTCCACCAGACTCACCTCTCCACAGGTTCTGGCAATGTGGCTCCTGGGACACGCCGGCTCTACAAACTCTGATGTTGTCTTAGCCATCGGGCTAAGACAAGTATGCTTCATGTGATAAAGGAATGCTGGAGAACGGAAACTCACTTTACAAGTGGACCTTATCTCTTTACTATTGGAGGACTACTAACCTTAAGTATATCTCTCATCTAATTATCTACAATCTCATTTAATAATGAACTAAGTCTTGCTTACTTAAATCTTCACTACTACAAGCTACTAATTGTTTGGAAGACAACTCTCATCATGCCTATTCACTATGCCTATTCACTATGAACAGTTTCTTGCTTTGCAATTATACTCAGTGCTTCAAGCTACTAATTATATGGAGGACAACTCCCATCATGCTTATTAACTATGAACTGTTCTTGCTTTGCAACTATCCTCAGCTAGTTGCTTAATATTACTATTGAAGATTATTCTCATTAACCAAAGAATGTTACTTAATGCATCTCTGAAGAAATACTTATTAATGAACTTTGTGTTGTTGATTACTTGCATTTCTTCTTATTGGATTATTGCCTAAATGCAATTCATTTAAGTTTAACACTTATTAAAACGTCATTTGAATCAAGTTACCAGCGATTCCCTCTTTTCTTAAAGCTACAGTATTGATACTTTAAAGTTTCTCCGTATCTTCACTAATGTAATTAGGGAGGTTTACAAGCTGCAGTTGAGTTCCAATCCAATTCACCCAAGGTGTGTGTATGTGTGGGGGCTGTTTGGGGTATAGCATGTGAGAGGCTGCATGTGGGGTTGTGTGCATGTATATGGATTGTTAGTGGTGTTGAGTTTTTGCGGATTGTGTGTATGTTTGTGTGTGGGCTGTCCGTATTATTTGTATGAGGGGAGGGTCTTTCTGCATTTCTGTGTACATCTAGCAGTGTGGGTGGCTTCCCTGGGTTCCAGTGGGGACCAGGCCAGCCAGGTACAGGTCAAGGACAGGAGCTGCAACAACAACTGTGAGCTGCTCTACT